ACTTTGAACTCTGCTTGGAGAAAATTGTGGCCAGAATGTGTCCAAAAGAAGGATTTTGAAGGGTTTGAGGCTGACCCTGTCGACCCTACGCCTGTTGTGGAATGTATTGTGGCATTGGGGAATTCTTTGGGGGTTGGATGTGAGCGGCCAGGATGTGGAAGAGTTGGTGGAGGACCACAATGAAGAGCTAACCACTGATGAGCTGCAAGAGCTTCATCTGGAACAGCAACAGGCTACAGCTGAGGAACTTGCTTCAGAGGAGGAAGAGGAAGAGGGAGGGAAGGAGGTGCCTTCTTCAGAGATTAAGGAGATTTGTGCAGTGTGGAGTAGGATGCAAGCTTTTGCTGAGAAATATCACCGTGAGCAAGCTGAAACAAGCTATCTCTGCAACATGTTCAGTGACAAAACCATGTCCCATTTCAGACAAATGCTAAAGAGACACCAAAAACAGACCTCTCTGGACAGTTTTTTTGAGCAGCAGGGGTCCAGTGACTCAAGCTGGTCCTAGTGGCATTAAAAAACAAAGAAGGGAAGTAACCCCAGATAAGGACTTGTTACCTAAAGTCTTTATGGAAGGGGATTTCCCTTCCAAACAATAATGAAGTCCTCCCTCTCTTTTCCCTGTCTTCCATTTGCCAACAAGAGTCTTCAGTAAAGGTATGTAAATGTGATTTTAAATGTTTAGTTATGTATTTCATTAGTCATTTAAGGATCGGGGATCTCAACCCTGAAAGGGTTAAGAACCCTTGAAAAAAGCTCATCAGGGCCAGGGGATTTATCTTTCTTCAATCAGTCTACTTGTTTATTAACCATATCGCTAGTGAATGTGATATTACACAATTTATCTTCTTCCGGCCCACTATAAAAATTAACTATTGGGATATTATTAGTGTCCTACTTTGTGAAAACTGAGAGAAAATAATTATTAAAAATAGAGCACATTTCATTCTCCTTGTCAGTAAAATGCCCAGAGTTATTTTTAACCCTTTCAGGGTTTCGGACGTACTAGTACGGCTTATGCACCAGTGTCCATGACGTACTAATATGCATAAATTCTGGCACCTTCAAATCTAGTGAAAGAAAGCTGGTAGGCCTACATATGAAAGAATGGGTCTATGTGGTCAGTGTGCACAGTATAAAAAAAATCCTGCAGCACACAGTGCATAATGAGGAAAAAAAAACTGACTTTTTGGATTAAAACAGAGACTTTGCACTATATTTTCGTATGGTATTTATTGTTGTATTCTAGTTTCCTGGTCTCATTGTAAAGAATGGAAGACATATTACAGAAATTGAGATGATTGTGACTGGTTTTACAATGAAAAGTACCTAGAAATTGAGCTCAAAGTAGCAGAAATGTTCGATTTTTACCAAAGTTCAAAAGTAAACAAATCATGCTAAGCATCCAGTACATGTCAGATGGTGAGTCTAATATTCTTTCACAAGTGCGCCGATATTATTTATACCATTTCTACACTAATGCAGTAGTCTGCATAACAGTAAATCTTATTTTTTTTTGTGAGAATAAAAATTCAAAGTGGAAAGCAAAAAAACGTAAGAGGGGCCTGGGGATGTGACTAATGAGCAGAGGAAATGTTATTTTAGTGCCAGGAATATCTTTCTTGTTTATTCTGGACCCTATTTGGAAATTGGCATCTTTTGAAATTTGTGTGAAATTGGCAAAATTGCTAAATTCTGACCACTGTATTGGATAGTTGAAATCTGTAAATTGGTGGTTTCTTGTACTCATTCGATAGAAAAAATGGAGTTCTAGCGAAATAGTTAAGATTTTTGTCGACTAGTACATTGGAATTGGCCGAAAATAGGGCTGAAAGTGGGCAAAATCACCGATGCGTAAACATCGTCGAGACCGCTAACTTCGTGAGAGCATAATGTAAGTTTTCCATCAAATTTCATACTTTTGGTGTCATTATGATTGGGAAGAGATTATCTTTCATAAGATTTTTTTTTTTTTTTTTTTTTTTTTTTTAAATTTGGGGGACCCTGAGAACAAGTCTCTGAGAGGGCCTGTGGACCCTGAAAGGGTTAAGTACTGTATGCACAGTGGTACCTCAAATTTCGACCATAATCCATTCCAGAAGGCTGTTCGAGTGCCATTACTGAACAAATTTGTTCCCATAAGGAATAATGTAAATTAGATTCGTTTGTTTCAGACCCACAAAAATACACTTACAAAAGCACTAACAAAAATACAATTACATAATTGTTCAAGTTGGGAGCTGTTTGAAATTCGAGGTACCACTGTATTTACAGTGGACCCTCGCCTAACGGTATTAATCCGTTCCTGAGACCTCAACGTTAGGCGAAATTATCATTAGGCGAATTAATTTTCCCCATAAGAAATAATGGAAATCAAATTAACCCGTGCAAGACACCCCAAAGTATGAAAAAAAAAATTTTTACCACATGAAATATTAATTTTAATACACACAAACTGAAGAAGAGATGTACAATACATGACACTTACCTTTATTGAAGATCTGGTGATGATTGATGGGATGGGAGGAGGGGAGAGTGTGGATGGTCTTAAGTGTTTAGAAGGGGAATCCCCTTCCATTAGGACTTGAGGTAGCAAGTCCTTTTCCGGGGTTACTTCCCTTCTTCTTTTAATGCCACTAGGACCATCTTCAGTCACTGGACCTCTGTTGCACAACATATCTGTCCATAGAGGCCTGTACCTCTCATTCCTTTATGACTTTCCTAAAGTGTTTCACAACATTGTCAGTGTAATAATCACCAGCACAGCTTGCAATAGCTGTGTCAGGGTGATTTTTATTAAAAAAGGTTTGCACTTTAAGCCACATTGCACACATTTCCTTAATCTTTGAAGTAGGCAACTTCTTCAATTTCTCTCTCCCCTCCTCTGAATCAGTTTCCTCAGGTCTGACCTCTTGCTGTTGAAGATAATCTAGCAGCTCATCAGTGGTTAGTTCTTCATTGTCCTCCTCCACCAACTCTTCCACATCCTCCCCACTAACCTCACCAATATGAGCACTAGTTCTAGGCATTTTTTCCTGTTCACCTGGGTGTTACTCAACTGTTGTGGGTCGCATCCTGGGGGACAAGATTAAGGACCCCAATGGAAATAAGTTAGACAGTCCTCGATGATGCACTGACTTTCTTGGGTTATCCTGGGTGGCTAACCCTTTGGGGTTAATCGTTTCTCGGTAATTGTTTCATGTTAAGCCATACCAACAACACACTCTCCACATCTTTGAGTAATACAGCTGATGGTGGTGCAGCAACCGCTGACCATGGTGCAGCAGCAGCTGACTGTAGTGCAGCAACCGCTGACGGTGGTGCAGCAGCAGCTGACTGTGGTACAATAGTATTTCTCACCCTTTTTACCACAGGGTTGGCACTAGAAGCTTTCTTGGGGCCCATGGTCACTTATTTTGCAGGTGAAATCACTAAAAACTCTGTGATAATAGGAAATGTTACGATTGTATGCTTGGATGTGACCATGGAGGCTGGCTTGTAAATACTGCCACCCACGGAACAAGTGAGGCTGGCTCAGGCCGCACGTGGACGCGTCTCGGACGAATTGTGTTGAGCGAGTTTTTTAGCGCTAGGCGAGGCAAAATTTTTGCGTTAAAATGCATCGCTAGGTGGATTTAACATTATGCGATGCCATCATTAGACGAGGGTCCACTGTATAGTTATTATTTAAAAAATGTATTTTTTTTTTATATATATTTTTGGGTGTCTGGAACAGATTAATTGGATTTGCATTATTTCTTATGGGAAATATTGCTTTGACTTTTGAACAATTTGAGTTTTGGCCGAGCTTCTGGAACGAATTACGGCCGAAACTCAAGGTTCCACTGTATGTAGATTTTTTCTTTTCTAAACACTCAAAAAATTTCCACAGCTGTAAAAGGTGACAGGAGTAATAATGATTTAAACTCTGTCTTCTGTATTAACAATAACTTCCTGATACTATTCCTCATGTTTTTCTTCTCAGTTGTTTTACATGATGGTAGGATTGCTGGGTGTCTTTTTTCTGTCTCATAAACATGCAAGATTTCAGATACATCTTGCTACTTCTACTTACACTTAGGTTACACTTCACATACATGTACACGTTTATGTATACACACTCATCTAAGTTTTCTTTGATTTTATCTTAATAGTTCTTGTTGCTTTTCCTTTTATATCCATGGGGAAGTGGAATAAGAATCTTTCCTCTGTAAACCATGTGTGTTGTAAAAGTCAACTAAAAATGCCGGGAACAATGGGCTAGTAACCCCTTTTCCCGTATAATAGCTTATTAAAAAGAAAAAGAAGAAAACCGTCAAAGTGGGATGTTTGAAGGATTGAAGGGTGGGCGAGTTCCTTAAGAAGGAAGGGGTGGAAGGTAGGGGGAGGATTGCGGGGTGAAAGAGTGATTTGAACTATTAAAAAAGTTTTGTGACCTGATGAGCTGTTGGAGTGTGAGCAGGGTAACATTTAGTGAAGGGATTCAGGGAAACCTGTTATTTTTATATAGCTGGACTTGACTACTGGAAGTGGGAAGTACAATGCCTGCACTTTAAAGGAGGGGTTTGGGATATTGGCAGTTTGGAGGGATATGTTATATATCTTTATGTATGCTTCTAAACTGTTGTATCTGGGTGCCTCTGCAAAAACAGTGATTATGTATGAGTGAGGTGAAAGTGATGATGAAAGTATTTTCTTTTTGGGGATTTTCTTTCATTTTGGGTCACCCTGCCTCTGTAGGAAATGGCCGACTTGTTTCCTACAGAGGCAGGGTTTTTTTGCCTTGAGAGTGTTCTTTATTGTTAGTCCATATTCATCTGTAATGCTTTTAGCACTGTATTGATTTTTCATTTGTTAAAGCCTGGAAAAAAAAGTGCAGTTTTCCAATAAAGGGGAGCATTCATAGTAAGCACCCTCTAAGACAAAAAAAAAAATTGTTTTGCCTTAAGAAAGATTATGCATATCATGTATTTAAATGAATTTTCTTCTTTTTTTTTCAGGTTCGGAAAACATCTCAGGCAGCACTCTTAGTGTTGCTAGAACAGGAATTAGTTAGCCGAGAAGATGTGCATGATCAAGTGTGTCCTGTCATACTTCGTCTCACTAGCACAGATGCTATGGATGACTTCAAAACGGAAGCAGTAGCGGTGAGTTATTTGCATTGTGATATATTATACTTCATGTATAGTGCTGTTATGTATTTTCATATAAGTGTTAGGGAAAAGGAGGAGGGCATGTGTTTGTAAACACTGTGCTGTACTTACTAGTGATTGCAATACTATATACATATTTACTAATTTGGGATTACAGGAGCAGATATTACTTGTATGCAATCTGCTTATCTTTTTATTTCCCATAATTCCAAAGTTTACAATTGTTATACACATAACACACTCATGGTGTTCCATCAATCCATCAACTACTCATATTTTATTTTTTTTTTTGTTAAAAAATATTTCTTGTTAGAAATTTAAATCACTTTCATGCATTTTAGTCCTTTTATTCCCTCTGTTTCCACCTCAAAATGCTGTGTTATGGTTGGTTTCTCATGAAGAATTGTGGAATTATAGATAGTTACAGGTATCCTATTGCTTTGTCTTCTTATTTCTTCTCTTTTATAGATTTTATTACCTACCCTTGAATTTTTTATATTTATTTACACTTTTCAAATGTTGTTCCCATACCGTATGACAGCTGTGTAATCTTTATTTGTGTTGAACAGTCTAAATAATTTATTTTTTAATGTACATTATCTCTAAAAGGTTACCAGGAAGATACTTTATAGGTAGTCACTGTTTAGAGAAATTGTTAATAATTGTATTTATGTTGTTATCTGGGGATAATTTTGTAGTTATCAACCGAAGACCTTTACTAGATGACACTTTAGGTATTATTGCATCATTAATATCTTCCTCTGGTCTGGTATACACTTTTGTCCAGCTGCCTCACTTGACACTTTAACATTAAAATCTGTCATTCATTTTTCACTTTATATGGTCTGTCCAGACATTCTTTTAAGTTTCCATCACCTTTGATTACTCATCCATAATTGTTTTTGAAGTAAATTTTGATACTTGTGGCACCCAGGTATTCTTATTCTGTCAAAGAGATTGTTCATTCTAATAACTTGTCTTCCACCACATCTTGTGGTGAAAAACCTTTATATATACAGGTCTGCCATCACAAATCCAGTATCATTGGAACCTGTAGTGAACTGGATTAGTATTGAGTTTGCCAGATTACAGAGTGGTTAGGTTAGAATACACTTAATAAAATTAACCAATGTGACTTACACAAGAAAGTTCATTGAACATCAGCAAAAATCGAACATTTCCTCTACTTTGAGCTCAATTTCTAGGTACTTTCTGTTGTGAAACCAATCAAAATCATATCTATTTCTGTAATATATCTGCCATTCTATCAAATGAGACCAAAAAAACGAGAATACAACCATAAGAACCATACGAAAATATACCACAGAGGCGGCTAATGGCTGAGAAGTGAACTACTTATTTATCATCTGATTTTTTTTTTCATTTTTGGTGCACATTAACCCTTAGACTGTCCAAACGTAGATCTACGTTTTTTCAACATTTGAAAGTATGTAAAAAATGTAGATCTTTTTTTTTTTTTGTTATATTTGAAAATATGCAAAAACACGTAGATCTACTTTTGGAGCACTACGCATGTGAACGTAAATCCGTTTGGATAGTAAGGGTTAACCCTTTCAGGGTTTCGGACGTACTAGTACGGCTTACGCACCAGGGTTTTTGACGTACTAGTACGCCTAAGTACCTTGAAATTGAGCTCAAAGTAGCAGAAATGTTCGATTTTTACCAAAGTTCAAAAGTAAACAAATCGTGCTACGCGTCCAATACACATCAACTGGCGAGTCTGACATTCTTTCACAAGTGCACTGATATTATTTATACCATTTCTGCACTAATGCAGTAGTCTGCATAACAGTAAAACTTCTATTTTTTGTGAGAATAAAAATTCAAAGTGGAAAGCAAAAGAATGTAAGAGGGGCCTTGAGACGTGACTAATGAATAGAGGAAATGTCATTTTAGTGCCAGGAATGTCTTTCTTGTTTATTCTGGACCCTATTCGGAAATTGGCATCTTGTGAAATTTGTGTGAAATTGGCAAAATTGCTAAATTCTGACCACTTTATTGAATAGTTGAAATCGGTGGTTTCTTGTATTCATTCGATAGAAAAAATGGAATTCTAGTGAAATAGTTATGATTTTTTGTCGACTAGTACACTGGAATTGGCCGAAAATAGGGCTGAAAGTGGGCAAAATCACTGATATGTAAACATCGTTGAGACTGCTAACTTCGTGAGAGCATAATTCCGTAAGTTTTCCATCAAATTTCATACTTTTGGTGTCATTATGATCGGGAAAAGATTCTCTTATCTTTTCATAAGAATTTTTTTTTTTTTTTTTTTTTTGAAAATTTGGCGACCCTAGAGAGGGCCTGGCGACCCTGAAAGGGTTAAGAAGCATCTTTCCACCATACATTGCCCAAGGTTCAATAAGATAATCCAACAAACAACTGAAGGAAAAAAAAATATTTACCAAAAATCATATATGGCAAGCCCAAGCCAGGTACTGGAAATAAGTCACTTTATGTGACTTTTTTGGGTTATCCTAGGTTCTCTATACATACGCTTGTATGTATGATAATCTGTGTAACTGTATTTGTTTATACTGTTATGCAGACTACTGCATTTGTGTAATAATTGTACAAGTAATGTCAACCCATTTGTGACTCAGTATTATGCCAAATATTATTAATTCTGGAGTATTTAAAATGTTTGTATGTTATGTATATTGTTTATTATGTCATATTAGATCAGTTGTGATAGGCAAATAAGCCATAGTGTTGATATAAGCGTAATAATACAGCATATTCCCCTGCATCATGAGACTGAGCTCATGGCAACCGACAGTGACTTCAGAGCCACCTTATCTTTAATGGACAATGTACTGTGTATGTGCTTGACACAATGAGAAACATTTCTTTTATTCGTTGGAACCATGGCTAGGGCTAAAAGTAAGCAGGTTATAACAGTAAATGGAGGAAAAGAAATTGGAAAGACTTATGTAGCAAGTAGTGTCACCAAACAGTACCAGCAGGTTGGTGTGGCAGCCAAAATTAGTGCTGAATAACTGATGGAACCGGATGTCTGATTGCCGCATTTGTGATGGCAGACCTGTATTCTCAAAAACTGATTATTATAATAATGTGAGTAAACATATTACCGGTAATACATATGTATCTGTATATAGTCGAACCTCAGTTGTCGATTGTGTTACTTGTTGAATAAAGTAGTCCCCCCAAATTTGCGGGGGTTACATTAAAAGACCACCTGCGAATTTGGAAAAACTGTGAATTCTGGACGTGGTTAAAAAAAATGCCTATTTGTATAGTTTAAACTTAAATTTAATTTCAAACTCAGCTTCATTCATAAATAACCCTTAAAAAAAAAAATAGGATGTAAAGATAAGTCTGTATACAGTACTGTACTGCTATGTCTCCCAAAGTGCTAGAATGTAAAATACCGATGTTACTCCTATATGTACTATAATTCATGCAAGCCTGTTTTCTTTGCTATACTGTAGTTCAGGCAACCCCGTTTTCTTTGGTATAGGTGCGGTAAATAAAGTTAAATGTACGGGTACTCACCAGTATGTGGAAATTTTACTGAATTTGCGTTAATGTTTATCTTACAAAATTATTAAATTATATTTTTCTTAATATTTAGCTTTAAAATGCATAAAAAATTATATATTGCCATGAAAAAAGCCAAAAAAAATCTGCGAATTTGCAGGGATTTCTGCAAACAATTATTGGGTTCTTAGGAAAACTCTGCTAATTAATGAAGCTGTGAATTTGGAACCGCGAATTTGCAGGGGTCCGCTGTAAATCAGTTTTCAAATAAGGTGTTTGAGGTAAAAATGTTTTGGTTTTTATACGTTCTCTTGGTTGTTGATGGACAAGTTTTCACATGTGCGGAACGGGACAAAAAGGCTGAAGTCACATGCTAATGGAATGTGCACTGGACAGTAGGTTGAGAGCTCACTCTATTATTGTGTAGTACAGTGGAACCTCAAAAATCGAACTGCTCCCAACTCGACCAATTATGTAAGTGTATTTTTGTAAGTGCTTTTATAAGTGTGTTTTTGAGGGTCTGAAATGGACTAATCTAATTTACATTATTCCTGATAGGAATAAATTCATTCAGTAACGGCACTTGGACAGCCTTCTGGACTGAAGAAAGTTCGATATTTGAGGTTCCACTGTACTGTACATGGGGACTTGAAACTGAAACCCTTACTTTTTTATCATTCCGACTTGTTAATCATTTCTTACTTGTTTATCATTCCGACAATTTTTTATTGAGTGGGTTCATGAGGACTTTGCTGCCATTGTCAAAAAGTACCTCATTAAAAACAGTTGCCACTGAGGGCCCCTTTACATACGGATAATTCTCCTGCTCACCCTCCAAGCTTGGAAAATGAGTTGATCTAGGAGTTCAGTTTTATAATTGTGAAGTTCTTGCTTCCTAACACCACTCGTCATCCAGCCCATGGACCAGCAAGTTATTTCTAACTTCAAGAAACTCTACACCAATGCACTTTTTGAAAGCTGCTTTGAAGTCACTTCAGAAACAAATTTAACCATCATGGAGTTCTGGAAGGATCATTTCAATATCCTCACCTGCTTGAGGCTTATAGGTGAAGCCTGGGGAATGTGTCTTCCAGGACCTAGCAGTCAGCATGGAAGAAATTATGGCCTGACTTTGTGGCAGCCAGGGATTTTGAAGATGAGCCTGAGCCAGTAGAGGATATTGTGTCCTCAGGGAAGACCTTGGGCGTAGAGGTGACTGAAGATAATGTGGAGGAGTTGGTGGAGGAGCATAGAACTCAACCCACCACAGAACTTCTAGACCTTCAGAAGCAGCAGATTGCAATGGAGGAGCTGTCATCAGAGGAAGAAGAGGGAAGGGATGATGTGCTCATTGCACTTGTCAAGGAAATGTGTGCTAAATGGTGTGAAGTGCACATTTTTTTTTTTTTGAAAAATACCATCCAGACAAAGCAGTGGCCATTCGTCTCTAATATGTGCAATGACACTGTAAT